CTATTTGATATATATATATAGCGGAAGTCAATTTTCTTTCTCTCCATAGCATTAAATAACATCCAAAGGGTTGATAAGCCGTAAAAATAAATCAGTCTCTCTCTATATATATATCTATTTATCTAGCTCACCTTTTCTTATTTCCTTCTACTTGTCTCTCTATATTGGATGACAAAAATATTTATTTCGTATAATTTTTTATGTTTTTTGTTTATTCGTTATATTTGCACACGCTCTATCTCTGATGTTGAATACTTTTAGCCATAAATGTACCATACCTTAAAACTATATATAATATATATATATATATATATATATATATATATATATATATATATATATATCTTTATTTGGCCAGCAATCTCTTTTTATACGGGTTTTATTGCAAACGACTGGCAAAACACCGTGAATACGCTTTTTATCATAGTTTTTGCTTTTGTACAAGAGATTTCTTTTTGGGATATAAACTGTCCAAATGACCCGTGGATTCGTGCGTTTTCGGCTAAATTTATTAGATATTATTACGGATGTTTTTTGTTTATCTGAATAAGCAGATTTTTTTTTTTTTATAATAGGAATGTTTCAATATCCGAACACAGTCAGCAAGTTGTGTCCGTGTTTGAGATAATTGAGAGTTGGTTTCTTTTCTTATTGTTAAGGCTTCCGTTATTTCTAAATGTTTTCTGCATTTAGATGAGTATATATGTGTGCATGTGTGTCTGAGAGAGAGAGGGGGGGAGATTAACAGTTTGATTGACAGACAAATCTAGATAGATAGATAGATAGATAGATAGATAGATAGATAGATAGATAGATAGAAAAAAATAAATATTTAAATTACTCCCATGTATCAAATATTTATCTTTCTGTATCTGTTGGTTTGTCCTTCTCTCTACCTCTCCTGTATCTTTCCCTCTTTCTTTTCGTATACTGATTCTCTAACTCGCTTCCACCCTACCCCTTCACGAGCACAGTCAATGCAATGTCGGCTGTGCACGTGCCTCCTGATAGAACGCAGTTTGAACGAGGAGGTGCTTCTTGTACCCATGTCCACAGGATGAACATCGCGACTGAATGACTGACTGACAGATGGACGGCCTCTCGTCAGCTTACAGACACACCCTTCTGATGACGTAGTTTTTCGACCGAAGCACGGGAAAACCCTTACACCGACTACAACCTATCGGCGGGAATTTCTCATTTACACACCGCCTTCTCCCGAAAATGGGGGATTAAAATACTTTCTTCTTTTTTTTGCACATTTCGAATACATTTTTTTTCTTTTACTTACTTTTTGATAAATGTAAACATAAATAATTACTCTGATCATTATTCCTATCTATCTATCTATCTATCTATTTCAATCATATGATTACCTCACTCTGATTAAATCAATCTCAATCTTTTAAATTACACATTTTTAAATATCTATCATTCTTTTCACGTCTATCTTCTGCTCATATCTATCTATCTATCTATCTATCTATCTATCTATCTATCTATCTTTTCACATCTATCATTCTACTCATATCTATCTATCTATCTATCTTTTCACATCTATCATTCTACTCATATCTATCTATCTATCTATCTATCTATCTATCTATCTGTCATGCTTTTCACATCTCTCTATCATTCTATTCATATCTATCTATCTATCTATCTATCTTATGCTTTTCACATCTCTCTATCATTATCTATTTATCTATCTATCTATCTATCTTTCCATCTATCATTCTGCTCTATCTATCTATCTATCTATTAGTTCTTTTCACATCTCTATCTATCTATCTATCTATCTATCTATCTATCTTTCCACATCTATCATTCTCTCTATCTCTCTATCTATCTATCTATCTATCATTCTTTTCACATCTCTATCTATCTATCTATCTATCTTTCTTTTCATTCTCTCTCTCTCTCTCACATCTCTCTCTCTCTATCTATCTATCTATCTATCTGCTCAACTGCTTTTTTCTTTGTTTCTGTCTTTCTTTCCCTTGGTCATTTTATTTACTCTACATTTTTTCCACTTCTATGTTTCCCTCATCTTTTCCCTTTACTTCTTCTCTGTCCTAATTTCTTTCTATTTATTTGCACCTTTTTTTTTTATTACCCTCCCCACCCTTTAAAAAAGAAAAATTCTTCTCTCTCTCTCTCTCTCTCTCTCTCTCTCTCTCTGCTCGATTTTCCTTTGTATTTTGCATTTGTTTTCGCTTTCTTTTACTTAGATGCGTCCATATCGCAGTGGTTAACTCGCTGCTTCTACAGCAAGGCGCCCTCTTGAATTCTGTAAATATACCTTTCTTCATTCCGTATTTTTTTCTTTCGATATTAAATATCTTATCTTACCGGAATATCTGCTTCTGTTTTGCCGTCTTCAAGACGCACCCTTTCCTACCCGTCTAAATGCCGTCTCTCTTTTCCACCGTCTTTCTTTCTCCTCTGCTTAAATTTTTACTACACTCCTATTGTCACCTTTGTTTGCTTGTTTCTTTCTTCCTTTCTTTCTTTCTTTCTTTCTTTCTTTCTTTCCTTCTTCCTTTCTTTCTTTCTTTCTTTCTTAATCCTTTTCTTCCTTTTGTTCCCTATCTTGCTTTTGTTCCTGCCTCTTTTCCCTTTCTTATTCCTTTTTCTTTCACCTTCTCCAACTTCTCCCTAATACTGCCTCCTCTTCTAAACTCTCTCTCTCTCTCTCTCTCTCTCTCTGTATTCTATGTTTACTGAACATTGCATAGAGTAACAAGCCAAATGAGACAGGAAGATTATATTGCGCAAATGTTAAAAATGATGGATCTGCTTTAAAATAAAATTCATCAAAACCGAATAATTGCTGTAAAAAGGTGTTTAAAGAGCTTAGGTTGATCTGGCACAAGGCCAGACGTGTGTAGCACCTAGTGAAGTTCCAGCAGTAATTGCTAACCATTGCTCCACGGTAAAGCGACTCAACCTTTTTGTCTCTTTATGTTATCTAAGTATATAAAGGGTGATATTTACTTAATTTAAATTAGTCTGGCATAAGGCTATAATCTTTCAGGTGCCAGGTGAAAATCAAATTCATCAGAGAAATACCGGTTTGCAGTCAACGCCTAGTTAGCTCTCTTGTCTCCCTCTTTCTCACTCTCTTTCCCTTCTTACCTACCTACACCGACGATGTATCTAACAATTCGAAAATAAAGATTGATAGTTAATAAAATTAATTTAGTCTGGCACAAGGCACCAAAATCCCAGATAGTACAGAACTCAGTACAAAATTTTGCGAGAATAGAAGGGTGGGGGATTGCCAATTACGTTTTCTTTTTTTCTCTTTCTAAAAATATAAGGTTGGGCAATTTTTTCTCCTTTTCCTTCTCTTCTTCTTCTCTTTCTGTCTTTTCTTTCTTTTTTCTTTTTTTTTTATAAAGACCGCTTCCTTTTCTACTAAATTACAGTTTCCACTTCTTGTGTCTCTCGCGGCAGCATTCTCTTACCTTACTTAAGAAACGGCCTAACAGTAGTCAACCTCAAAAAAGCCATGAAAGTAAGCAGTAAAGCCACCTACCACTTCACATCCGACGTCCCAATCATCATCAACAGCAACATTGCCATTAAACCAAATCTTATCATCATCACTAACCACAACTTAAATAAACGAGGCAACATGCCTCAGCGCCTGCCTATCTTGATGCTGTACCGCCTCTCGGTTTTGTAACCAGCCAGCCAGCGAGACCGGGCGGCTCACCGTTCCACCGGACAGCTGAGAAGTAAAACTCTCCTCAAAGAGGTCGGAACTTGTGTCTTTTCGTTCGAAATTTCCCACTGGGTTCAGGTCGGCGTATCGGCGATATTGTCAAATTACTTGCCGGGGTATTTTTCAGTTTTAACTGTGAACGACCCGTTGGGCTTCAACATAAATAACTCGAAAAAACATTAATAATGAAAAAGAAAATATAAAAATATATACTTACACACACACACACACACACACACACACACACACACACACACATATATACACGCACAAATACACAAACGCTTATATATACATACACATACACACACACATATATATACATACATATATATATATATATACATATATATATATATGTACATGTGCACATATATACATGTGTGCTTTTCTCTGCAAAACAAACAAAGCTGATATCTACAATCACATTTGCTACAAAGTCACTTTCATAAATAAGTGTATATATATAAATATAAGAAAATATTTATCTACCATATATTTATGTGTTTGTGCTGTTTTGCAAACTCCTATTTCGAGACGAATGAATATACTTCACGAAGAACGTATATATATATATATATATATATATATATATATAAGAATATGCTAATGAAAGAACATATACATAAGAATATACTTCACGAAGAACATATTTTTCAAGTTTAAACCGAGATCGAACACCTTGTTTTATTTTATTGTTAAAGTTTCTGTAAGAATATTTTTATCACTCAAAAAATATTCCAAAACTTGCATTTATATATAAATATATATATATATATATATATAATAATAATAAATTATTATTATTATTATTATTATTATTTAGTAATTTAAGCATTATATTTTAATTGTGCTTCTTCTGCTTTAGGTACTCAGAAAAAAAATTTATAGCTTTTCTGCCACAAAAAAAAGAAAAAATGTATGTATATATATATAAATATATATGAGTTTATAAGATCTTGGAATAAGAAAAACAAAAATTATTTTTCTAGCGGTAATTATATTATTATAATTACATTATTGAATTTCTATTAGTAAAAGTTTATCATTTATTGCTTCTTTCCAACTAAAAATATGTTAGTTTACTAAGAAACTAATAGTACTGTTGAACATATCAATACAAAACATGATTCACTGTAAATGAAAAAATACTTTTAAAAATGGCAAAAATCTATCAACATTTTAAATAGGAGGATGAGTTTTCTATGTGCAATAAAACCTCAATATTTTTCGTAGATTAGCAACAGGTATGGATCAGAGAGTGTACAGTATGAATGCCCCGGCTCTTCACCACTATCCAGCAACGTTTCCAAGTACCTACGGACTGGCTCCGACATTCCAGAGACAGGCCCCTTTCCCTTCCATGTACGGAGCTGCCGGACTAGGAAGCGGTGGCCTTGGATATTCCCCACACCAATCGGCGACTGATTGGGATTTTCACCATGGATCATCTAACTTAGCTATGAACCTAAACGGGACCCTAAACGGCACCTCGGCCGTTACGGCCTCGGCGAATTTCCTGTCAACACGGGATTCGGCCGCTGCGCAGGATTACTTTACCAATGCCAACACGATGGCCCAGGTGTCAGGGTCATTGTCATCTGTCATGACTGAGAGCATGCTTTCTTCTGGCAAGTCCATTGGCGGAGGTGGCAGCGGCGCTGGTGGTAGCCTAGCGGGTATCAGTTCAAATGGAAGGAGTGGAAGTGGACTTGGGGGAAGCAGCAGTGCTGGGGCTGGTGCAGGGGCCACCGGTGGCGGAGGGGCCCACAATGGAATAGGTGCCCCACCGTCCTCGCCCTATTGTGACTCTGTCAACAGTGCCGGCTACGCTACCAGCTTCCCCGCTGTCAGCCCCGCCTCACTAGCCGTTCAGTCAACTGTTTCAGGGGTCACATCAAAAGTAACAGGTGAGTCGGTCGAGCTTTCTTTTCCCTTTGATCTGCCGCATCATTATTTACATCTTCATCCCCGAGATGATAATCCCCCGAAGCAAAGTGACAGCAAGCCTTCTTAAATCGACCATTATCTTTGAATTCGTGCTAACCTGCAATAGTACTCATTCTTTAATATTTTTTTTAAACGGAATCTCTGATTTTGAGTTTATAATGTTTATTATACGATTTATATGTTTACCCAATTTCCAAGGGATCACTGTTTTTACCCACACACGTCTTTTAATATTATTATTATTATTGATGTTGTTATTGCTGCTGTTGTTGATTTTGTTGTTGCTATACACTCATGGAGTGTTTGTTGTTGTTATACACTGATAGACTGTTATTATTATTTTTTCTTGTTGCTTTTCTTCTTCTTGTTATTTCTTTTGCTGATGTGTTACACTGATAGAGAGTTCAAACCATATCAACATTAAATGGTGGCTAACATTGGAGGTCACGTGACAGCAAGTCACACCAATAATCCAGTACTCTTAGTATTCTTGCCGGTAATTAATACTGTCGTCTGGATGATTCTGAATCTACCTCTTAATTACAGTTCATACAACCTTTGTACTAGGCGCTTCGAAAACGTTCCCATTACTCTGATAATGAATGGCACAACTGTCACTTTCATGTGCTGCAAATGTGCTGCAAATTCCTAAACACTGGGAAAATTACCATTATTACTAGCCCGTTAAGTAAGTTTTTACACCAAGCGGAAACTGATGACTTCCACTGGAGATCAAATGATAGCAAGCCTCCTTAAATCTCCGATTATCTTTCGATTGTATCTCTCTTTGACTCCCAATAGTGTTGTGATCTAAAATGTCCTCAGTTCTTTGATTTTGAGCATATACTGTTGATTTTGTATGATCAAATCTTAAACGTTTGTACGGTTTCTAAGGGATCACCTTTCTTACCCTGTTTCGTCTACTTTTGCATCATTATTATTATTTGTTCATTGTGTTAACATACAAAGCAGTATCTCGAGGCTTTCGTTGGGGGCCAGTATGATAGAAAGTTTCCACAATTTTCCAGAAACCTGACTGCTACTCTTACCGATTTTAATAAAATAGACTTTTTTTCTTTTACTTCTAAAGCATATCTTCCATGTTTACAATTTTCTTTTGATTTCACTCAGTGGTCCGCGTGGCAATTGAGATAATTTAACTTGCAGTGTTTTTCTCTTTGTTGACAATGTTGACAAGAGATCAGATTTCCTAATCTGGAGAGAATACATCGTTTAAATGTCAAAGGTAAAATAAATTTTATTATTATTTAATAATAATATATTTTCTATTCTCCCCGATAACACTTGTTTATGTATTTGCCTTCAGATTGCATAGTTCAATCTAATAATTTGTATCATTCCCAGTAGATCGCTATTTCTACCCAATCACATCTATTTTTCAAACTCCTTCTGAACTAATTTGCAGCATTCCTTTCTTCATTTCCTTATTTTTTTTTTCAGTTTTATCATTATTCTCTCATACATTCCAATAGTGACTGATGGCTCGTAATGGAGATTAAGTGACAGCAAGTTTCTTCAGTAACACGGCACTCCTCTCCATAGTATCATAGCTGCTATCAATAATGCTGTCATCTGAACGGTTCCAATTCTTCCCCACTACTTTTCTACCCCAGTACTTACACACTTTTCCCAATTTCAATTCTGACAGGCTTTTTCCAATTCTCTTTTCCAGTGTTCCGATAACGAGTGGCATGACTGTCTTATATATATATATATATATATATATATATATGTGTGTGTGTGTGTGTGTGTGTGTGTGTGTGTGTGTGTGTAAATATAAATAAATATATATATATAATTATTTATATATTATATGCGCGCTCAATATCAGAGATAGAGCTAACATAGAGTTTGTCTGACGATCGCAAAAGCGTGAAACCCAGGGTCACAAACTCACATCTATCCAACAAATATAAATATATATATATATATATATATATATATATATATATATATATATATATATAGAGAGAGAGAGAGAGAGAGAGAGAGAGAGAGAAAATGAGAATATTATTTTAAACATCATATTTAGTTGAGAACACAGGTTTCAGTAGACATGCCTGATTTTCCAGTTCTTCCGGTCATTTTCCAATTCTCCTCGAGACTGTTTCCGGTGCTACGATAATGAATGGCATGACAGTCACTTTCATTTTATCCAAAGTTCTCTAGCAAAGTCGAGGCATCTATCTATAGTTTCACTTTCATTCAGATCTACCCCGTAGTCCGACAGAACAGCGAACTCCATTATCTCGCATGTTCATTGTACTTGTTTACTGAAACCGGCCTTTTGGCCTAGATTGGGCGATCCACTTAAACCTCAAAATCGCTAATGACTTTATGTGTTATATTCTCTAGAAGAAATAGTGGTCTTTGCACATCCCAATAGTCTGTATGATTAAACAGCAGTCGCTAGCACAGTTCCCAGGGGATCACATTCCCCACACAACATTGTCTATTGTTGTATTCTTTTTGGGTCAATTTGCTGTAGTCATTTATTAGTTAGTTCTTTCTTTCATCCTGATTTCCAGACAATTATTATTATTATTATTATTATGTAAACTTATATATCTATCCTGCACTTCTGCCAAGGATAAGGTATATATATATATATATATATATATATATATATATATATATATATATATATATATAAATAATTAGGGTATTTGTATAATTTCATATATTCTCTAGAACCGAAATCCCCCACGCACACGCATGCAGAAAAGCAGTGGACAGCCATTTCGTCCTTTTCGGGACTCATCAGCAGAGTACATCCTCAAATGACTCTGGCAGTCGGACCCGGACCGATATCACATTTGGTAGAGGATGCGCACTGCTGATGAGTCCGACAAAGGACGAAACGGCCATCCAATGCTTTTCTGCATGTGTGTACGTTGAGGATTTCGGTTGTAGACATGATGAATTATTATGAATATATATATATATATATATATATATATATATATATGTGTGTGTGTGTGTGTGTGTGTGTGTGTGTGTGTGTGATAAAATATACTTATAAGATATGCTATATTTATGGGTAAATGTGTTCAATAGCAGAGATAGGAGCGTATGTAAATATGACAGTGGCCACTGAGGTGAACACCAATGGGCAATGTTTAATGCTTCAACTCAATTTTCAGACATGGCCTGAAGATTGCGTTGAAGCATGAAACAAACTGTCGCCGCTTGTTTTTGACTGCAGTGTCCACTTTGATATACATACATACATATATATATATATATATATATATATATATATATATATAATTGAAAGGTAATTTTAAAAACATCTATACCAGGCTTCCTAGGGACTCTGTCTCTGATACTAAGTACTGACTTTTTAAAAGACAAAGTTGAATTGTACTCATTATTATTAGTTGAATATTAAATATATATAGGGAGATATAATGAATCTATGTAGTTACACGTTCAATTGCATGTGTTATTATTATTATTATTATTATTATTATTATTATTATTTTGTTTTGTCTTTGTTTTGGCCAGTATGAGTTGCCTCCAAGTCTCAACCTTAAGAGACAATCATTTTTTGTATCAGAATATGCAAACAGATGGGGGCCATGCAATTCAAAAGAAATCTGTTTATGGTTACTGCATAGAGAGAAATCTACGCAAGATATGAGGATTATCCACATGTATGATTTGTGCATCTATTTTAGGGCTATCAGGAATGTGATCCATATATTTGTTTGTTCCTTTTGATATAATCCCCAGGAAACTCCAACAACAGGGGATCATTGGAAGATTAGTAATAACGATTAGGTTTAAACTGATATTGATTACTTTTATTTATTTATTTTTTTAATTGACCTCGTTTTAAAAAGAATAAAGTATTCTTTGTTTGGAACTTCTAACGCATTTTATATAAGAGATTTCGTCATTAAAAATAAGTTGTCATACGCAGAAAAAATACCTCCCACCCATGAACAGAAAATTGCCAAACATAAGGTTTATTGCATCTCTAAAGAGAAAAACTTCACCATTCAGATACACACACACACACACACACATATATATATATATATATATATATATATATATATATATATATATATATATATATATATATATATACATATATATATGGTTGTATTATATATGGTTGTATTGGATTATGTTTTTATCATATATATACATACATATATATGTGTGCGTGTGTGTGTCTATGTGTCGCTTATTGCAATAAACCTCATATTTACTTAGAAAAAGTGTTTGAGTAAACGTCTGTGTTTTTTAAACAGCTAAATTAATGTTTGCCGGCCTAGAGGTCGAAAGTCTTAATAAAGAAAAACACCTTTAATTTCAAGTCTGATAGACGTTAATTTCCCCGTTAAAAAAAAAATAACGATTTTTGCTCAAACATGTGTACCTACAAAAAATAACCTTTTTGTAATAATAAATAATACAGGCAATTACTATATATATATATATATATATATATATATATATATATATATATATATGGAGGGATGCGATATTATATATATGAGGGGTGCAATATCATGAACCTTTATATAACCAGAATAATTTTAGGAAAATATATGACAAAGTGGAAAAAGATTTCATGTGACGCGTTTCGCCCTTTAGGACTTCATCGGATTAAAGTGATGTTTACGTTGAATGCGAAAACACATGTGCAGGAAGGAGAGGTGATGATGTCACTTTTAAATTTAAGGTTAATTTTTTTTTAAATATATGTTTTCGTTTTGTAGTCGATTTCATTATCATTTTCTTTCTTTTTTTTTTTTTTGGGGGGTTATGTTTTTATAACTTTTGTTATTAAATATTTCACATAATGATAATAGATCTGTCAAGAAAGGTAAACTGTTTTAAAAACCTGGACGTACATTCACCGAGGATGAAATTGCGAACTGTCTAAGTTGAGTGACTCTCAAGGCTTGTAGTATGTAAATTTAGAATATATATATATATATATAGATAGATAGATAGATAGATAGATAGATAGAGAGATAGATAGATAGATAGATAGATAGATAGATGTGTGTGTGTACGTGTATGTGCGTG